ATTGCCGTATTGGTCGGTCTGCTTGAGATCAGGCGATATCCTGGTTATGGCTCATGTTAGGTAATACGTTATTTACGGACAGGAGCGGGACTCGGATTAGAGTGGCAATTCTCTGAGAGATTATTGATGATCTAGCCACTTGTCACGAGCTTTCGTGGGGGCTCTGCTACTCTAGCATATCTTTATCGCCAGCTTGGCGTGTCCACCAGAGTGCAAAATGCCTCATTCTCCGGGTGCTTCACACTCATTCAGGCGTGGATATATGAATACTTTCCACGCTTCAGACCAGGAGGGGACCGTGCCTCAGAGGATCCTGCAATGCCCCGAGCTGGATGGTGGGATGTCCCAGGTCCTGATAATAGCGTAGAGTGTCTGAAGAAACTTCGGCAGGAGATCGACGGCCTGACAGCCGCGGATGTATGTTACATTTAGCAATCTTGATTATGAATTATTATGGAAAATATCTTTGTTAACATTTCTTATGTTTTTTTGTTTAAGTGACATGGTTGCCTTATGGACTCGAGCCTGTTGACAATGATCCAAGGACCTTGTGCAATGGCTGGATACAGTACCGAGATATTATTAAGCCACACTTGCCTGCACGAGTATTGCGCCAGATTGGGTACATCCAGACCATTCCTCCATCTATCCTTAGACCTTCAGGAGGTATTTCGTAGTAGTAAATCCAAGATGTACAAGGTTATATGGTCGCGCACTATTGCATTAGACGCTTGGGCGCAATTCCCATTAAGTAGCAAGCTCGATCTAGGCGAGTTACAGCCAAGTGATATAGATGAGACTGCATGCGTAGATGGTTACCTAGATTGGTACATTCGAGTTTCGCATCCTCTGCTTGTTTTGGATCGCGCTACTGTTGGGACTTGGAGAGCTGGAGTTGGAAACATATATCACGTAAGTCGTCTTTTGTCTATTATAAGATTAATAAATTTAGTTAAGATTTGTTTAATATAATATTAATTGTATTTTCCTATTTTTATGTGTAGTGGATCAACCGACTGTCTGTGTTATATGGAAACACACTAGGTGAATTGCGCAGATGGGATCCAGAGACTGTAAGGAAATATCAGGCATTGTTTGCTCAATTCAACAAGGATTTTCATTCGAGTCATTGATGTGTATTTGACAAACTGGAATGTGTTTAATCAGGATATTATGTGTTACTTATTGGATTTTTATTTTACAAAGTGATATGTATTTTATTGGATCTATGTTATCAAGTCATTTGCTCTAAAACAACTAAAATTTAAACAACACGATTAGCAAATTAAAACAAATTCTTTTTATGGCAAAGTCAGCTACTAACTAAAAGGACATATGCGGTTCCACTCTACTATCCTATCCTGATACATGTTATCCCATCCAACAACACTGTTATCAGCCAAGGCATACCAATTTGGATGTATACGAGGCACCGGAAAATCACCACGAAACTCAGCACAAATGTAGTGGTCAACATGTCCAAGGTGAATAAGCACAATCTCACGAGTAGGTCCTGTGGCGCTATCGCGAGCCTGAAGGGGCAACACTGTAGTACAAAACCAGTTCATATTCCCGTTCAAGTCAGGTCTGAGACCGCATAGAAAAACTGCTGCATTCCAGATAGTAGCAATAGCGAACAAGTCTGTGTTTTCCATCCAGTGAGATCGACCGCACCCACCTTTCTCCCACCTTATTCGTCGGACAGCGTCCATTCACTTTCCGTAGTATGCATTATCCCACAAATCAGGCAATGTAAAAAGATCACTAACAATCACTGCTCGGACCCACGACCATTCCTCCTACGTGCCGCTTATATCTGCCACACAACGGAACCCACAGTTCCCATCTGACTCCACATCAAGGTATCTCTGAATGTAGGGATGCATAAAATACGGAATGGCCTTAGCACTTCCATAGGAAACAAAATCCGTCTTCCAACCTCTTGTGTCACCTATTAAAAAACTAAAATTAACTTTTTCAGATTATATTGGCAACACTGTTAATTTTTAAACTTAACGCACAACAATATAAAATATTCTTACCTCTATCATTGGTTCTATGCGAGGATCCAGAAGGCGTGTCCTTCTGTGATGAACTACTCATGCGAGATTACCCATTTCCTGTCTTATGCTTCTCCCAAAAATAAGGGATCCGCTTCTTAAGTTCGGACGACCTTTAACACTCGTCTTCACCTTTAGTTGCTCGTAGCTTATATGCTCAGAGTCATTTAAATGTTGCAGGAACGCATTGATGCACCTCAAAACAGCAGGTTTCTTGTTATACGCCACATCCGCAAGACCTAAAAAAATCTTCTGTTCCTCTGTTTCATCATCAAAATCATCATCATTAGGGGCCGAATCAGGCATGTTTCTTGTATAATCAAGTCTACTCCAAAAAGGTTGGAGGTCAGCTACTTCAAGGGGCAACCGCTCTTCAACTATCTGTTTAAGCTCACACGTATAAGGGATTCCATGAGTCTTTTTTAACGCACAACCACAACTGTGGTAACATCTTCACCTAGTTCATGCATGCGAGCAAACTCCCTATCAGGGATGTCCAAGTAGTAATATGAGACACATTTAACTATACGATCATAGGGGAACTGAAGGTGGGATCGATTCGAACGTCGCACCGACAACCCTAGACTGAACTTGTAATTAAAAATCTTCATTGTTAATCTAATACTATTGGTAATACTATTAGTAATACGAAGTGAAATTAAAAAAACATAATAATATAATGTACCTGATCTCAGTGAAAGCATGCTCGAACCCACTGTGGATTTTGATCCACATTGTATCTAGCTGCAGGTTCGACATCTCAAGAAATTGCTTCAAGGCACTATGAGCAGCCTCTACCCTACAATTACTGGTGTTCCCCAAGTGTGTCACCTCATTTGTCCACGCATGAGCCCACTTCTCCTTGTACACTAACCAAGTGTCCTCGACATATTTTACCAACTTTCTATAACTTTTAGCATTTGAGTGTTTGTACGCTGTCATTCCTAATACAGCCATTGCATGATCGTACTGAGTAGGAGCTAGAAGTACCTCTCTGAATACATTGTCCATCCTCCAAATTGCGAATTTGCTACCACAATAACTATTCGTGTGTGCCACAACACATCTGTCGATGTGCCACACACACAGAAGATGTGCAGACTCTGAAAACCACTTACTGATTGGACCTATCAATCCCAACTCCCTGTCTGTCACTATGGCCATAGGATGCACCTCCCACCCAATCAAATTTCGCAACTGCTTCATCACCCAATCATAACTCATACTCGTTTCATCCTTCATAATTGCATATGCAATCAAGAAATTCTTATTGGTTGGAGTCATCCCAATCATTTGGAACAGTGGCATCTTATACTTGTTTGTTCCGTAAGTAGTATCCATACCAATGTACTACCTGTAGACTCTGAGCATCTGTACAGATACTGGATGTGCCAAGAAAATATTACTCAACACATTCGAATCATGATATGTAAAAATCATATAGCCATGTTTCTTAGCTACGTAAAAAAACTGCTCCACCAAAGTTCTATCCTCAAAACTGTCCAATCGCAACCTACTCTTGTAGTTGTATACTTGTTTGGGGGACAACGTATTCGTCAGGGCATTCAGCATTAATTCGCTTCACCATTGCAGCCGTTTTTCCTCCAAACCTCAACATTTCCCTAACAATCTCCTTCGCTTTATCGCTCATCCCGCTCATCTGCCTCTGTCCTTCCCTAAATGTACCAAAGGGGTGGTTATGCGTACCCTTAGGACCTGGTACAGAACGAATGCCAAATGAAGTATCATCCGCATTTCGGCTATAAGCTGGAACTGACATCCACAACACTGCGACTTCGTACTTCGCACATTATTCTCCGTCTCTCTTGGGGGAATACCTTTTGGACATCTCAATAATTTTGACGTCTCACTTCTCCTTGACGCAATAACAACCTCAAAACCAGGAGATTTCGCACTATGTTTCGCTCATCCTATAGCATCATCAACAGTATTGAATCTAATGTGAGTCTTGAAACACGAACTATAGTCAATACCATCACCACCATAATCCTATTCTGAAACATAATCAAATTTAACAAACTTAAATATATACATAAAAAAATAACTACGCAATTAAGTATATTAAATTATGTAAAACACATCTAGTGAACAATTTATAATTTAAATTTAATTACCTTACATGATAGTCAATGAACACTATATTAAATTTCATTTACATAAATAATATAATTTAAATTATATTACATTTATTACATACTACCAATTAGTATTAATAAATACAATACAAAGATGTAACTACCACTACAAAAAATTTAATTTACATAAACAATCATTATTAATAATACTTATTTTTTAAAATTAAATAAAAAAAATCTAAACAATAAATATTGATACTATTCATTCAAACAAACTAATTATTGAAAAAAAATATTAATAATAACTAAAATGAATGTAACATGAAATTATTGAAAAAAATGAAAAAAAAAAAAAAAGCTCAAGGGTAGCCGGTTTACCGCCGGCTACCCCGTTCGAGAACAATTTTTTTTTCATAATATTCAATGAATTTTGGCAAAAAAAAGCATACCAAATTTGAGACCGAGTCTTCCGGTGTTTGATTCTCTTGTTCCGTTATTTTTTTAACCTCTAAATTATTGTAGATCTGAGTTTGACATTATAATTTTAGATTTTTTTTCTTTGAGAGGTGAAGAAGAAGAGAAAGAATTAATTTGAAACTATGTGTTTTAGTACTTTTTGTAGTATTCAAGGATAAAAATATCTAAACAACTGTAAATGAGTAATTTTTATAACTGCAAATAGTAATGCCCAACTGCCGATCTCTTCAGAAAAATGACATTACATGCTGATATAATCAGAAATCCAGTTTGAATTGACAAAAGCACCCTGTTGTGCTGAGCTCATTAGTTTTATTCAAATTTAAACTCTTAATTTGATTTTTTAACAAAGGAAAAAAGAAAAAAACATTAATGAAACCTAATTTATTGAACCTCTCAATCTTCCACGTCATTCTCAATTCTTCAGCGCACTGTTCATCCAACCCCCCAATCTATCACTACTACATCATCACTGCCATAGTCACTTGTTTCTTCTCCCATTCAAATATTTGAGGGAGATGTTGTAAAATATTTTGGTCAAGTTGAAATTGATGTTGGGCTCCCTCTGTTTCGCTCTTGTTCAACTGAGCTGAATTAATTGTTTTGGGACTGTTTCCTAGTCGAAACTCAAATGAGAAGAGGGATAGAAATTGTATGCTTCCCCACTGAGAAGAAAGAATAAATAAAATATCCTTCTCTCCATTTATTTTGAGAGCTACGAAAACACAATACAGTCTTATAAACAATATAATTAACACCCCCCGCCACCACCTGCAAACACTATACTCAAATTTTGAGAGAGATGGCGCCATTGTTGCGGAGCTCTCAGCCATGGGTGGAAAAATAGTAAGGAGTCTCTCTTTTTTTTCCCCTCCATAAAAGCAATTCTTTTTTTTTTTTTCTCTTTTTTTCATCATTTTTTTTTTGGGTTTTTCAGTTCAATCTTTTTGTTTGCAGTCGGCCGAGGCAAGTGAAGGATGTCGCGCATCAAGACGAGGTCGTCCGAGTCCTTACAAATACACTGGAGACGGCTAATGTAATTTCAATTGTTTTTCCTTATGATGTATTTTGATTGCAGTTTCTGTATGTTCCTTCTTCCGGTAATTAGGGTTCTTTTTTGCTTACTTTCTTTTTCCGATTTTCAATTGTTTTCCAGTGCCCACATATGCTGTTTTATGGACCTCCTGGCACCGGAAAAACTACCACCGCGCTCGCCATTGCTTATCAGCTATTCGGGTAATTATTAGATAATAATGGTCTAGTTAAATTTTGAATTGTTTGGCATTACCTTTGAATTACCTGCTTGTTATTGGTTATCAACAGTATTAGGTGTTAGGGATTACAGAAAAGGCGTACTTTAGATTAGTTAAATGGGTTTCGTTTTGCTCCAAGGTTTTGCTATAGGGTTATGAAATTTGAATTCTTTATATATTAATCTACATCCTCTGTATATCCTTGGTTTTTTTTTCATTTTTTTTTTTTTTCTTTTTTGGCTTTTGAAATCTCTTGTGTTTGCTTCAATTCTTGATAATTGCTTAGGGAAGAGTATTTTTGGTAAACATTCACATTTTTCTATATAATTAGATTAAAGTGACTGTCGAATAAATCCAGTATGAAATTAAAGGGAAGAAATGTAGTTTAGTTGTAGGGGATGTGGTGGAAGGTGATATTAGATATGATGGACATGGTGCTTGTTTTTGTTTAGAAATGTATTCTGATTTTTTTAAAAAAAAAAATTTACCTTAGAAAAGAGAATTGAAACCTTATGATAATCTATCTTGCTTTGATGTTCCTCGGTTAAAAGTTAGTGAAATTGAAGTCTGTGCATTTGGTTGCAATTTCAATCATTGTATCAAAGTGTCCTTGCATTGATGGTGCCCACTTCACTTGTCTGATTGGTGATACAGTCGTTCTTTTGGACGATTCAATGAACTTTATTATCATCTTTTGTCTATTAACTCTACTCGCGCAATTAGAAATTATGCTGTAAATTTGGGCATTGTGGAAATGAAGGTGGATTATATCAAAGTCGATTGGATGTATTTAGTTTGTTCATAATTATCATGACATGTTTATGTTACCACATTTATACTCGATACATGCATGATTTGTACCACGGCAAGCTTTTTTGTTCTTACGTTTTAGTTAAAATGGACTTTTTTTACCATTATGCTGATGTGTATAGGTCTGCAGTAGTTGGTGAGGTGTATGATGGGTGCAGCCATTAGTTTTATCTATATATTTGCTTTTTTGCTGGTAATTTGCGAACCAGTAAACCTGCTTTCTCGAAGAGCTTTTACGTATTATGAGCCTTGTGACTGGTCATATTGAGTTCTCCTTGCACCTTTTTTGTATGATGCACCATCCGAGTGCCGTCTGTAATTTTCTCTGCTGACGAGCCTTGAGTAGATTAACTATGTGTGTTGCAAATTGATTATGGTTATGGCAATCAATGACATAGTCAACGTGTAACTATTTTCTGCCTTCTTTTTGAGTTTTCTTTACCCCGCAAAAGGTTTCGCTACCGACTACATAAGTAAAGATTGATGTCATCGTTTATTTATTTTTTTAGAGCATGCAAATACTTTGGCTGATAAAGTAATATCAGTTTGATGTCTTTTACCGCAAAATTATGTATCTTTAAAAAGTTGAAAAACTTTCTGGTTTTTCCAATAAAATTGGTGTTATACATCTGTATGACCTATGTTTACAATTAAAACTGATTGACCTGTTGTCTGCATTCTGTAAACTCGACAACCTCCATTTGCAGACCTGAACTTTACAAGAAAAGAGTTCTGGAACTGAATGCTAGTGATGACCGTGGTATAAATGTTGTTCGTACAAAGATAAAAGATTTTGCTGCTGTTGCTGTTGGTTCTGTTCATCAAGGGTAATCATTTTTTCAAGCTTATTGTGCATTTCTTTCAGATTTCAAGTTTCTATATGTTTTGTTATAATCCATTGGACTCGAATGTTTATTACATCATGTCTGGTCTCCTCTAAATCTGTTCTCTACTTCTGTAGTTATCCTTGTCCCCCTTACAAGATTATAATCCTTGATGAGGCTGATTCAATGACTGAAGATGCTCAGGTAAGTATCTCTTCTGCTGTTGTTTGCTGATGGTGTCCTTGAATCTGATGTTGAAGAACTTCTCTTATGCAGAATGCCCTGCGGCGTACTATGGAAACATACTCAAAAGTCACCAGATTTTTCTTCATTTGTAATTACATCAGCAGGTTAATTCCTTAAATGCTACTCTTCCGTCCTTTACTTCTTCTGCCAGCTATCTCTCTGCAACTGTTATCTGCTGCCTGCCCCAAATTCTTGTGGAAATGCTTACCTCAGGACAAAATATATGGATGAGAGAATCTGGAATGGGATGGGAAGAAATGTTGATTCTTCTAATTAGGAGAATCAAAAGTTATTTGTAGCTTGAAAACTTGATCAAATGTTGGCTTATAATGAGTAGAAGTACTTAAAGGAATGGTTGTGGTCAGAATTTTATTTTTCTGAGGCATGGGTTTATGAGTGAAAAAAATGTGTTGAACGTTCTGAGAGATGGAACCTGAAAAAATTTTGCTCCCTGGTGTCCACTGCATGTTTTAACTCCAGCTGTGTGTTACTCTTATGTTGCATTATTTTGTCCGTAAAACCACCTGCGCTATCATGAGCATGCTAAGCTGTTCGAATCTATTGAAATCTGCCCGGAAACTTGCCAACTGTTTTCCCCGTGAAGTTTGTAAAATTAGTAGTATCAAACTCTCAAAAGAAAGTGTACCAGGGAAATAAGCTAGTAAATATAATCTTGGTTATCATCCTTAAAAACAATATTGATTTGGAGAACCGGTATATGAGTGTTTGAGAGGTAAGTAATTTTCTTAAGATTTTGGTGGAATGATAGAAATCCTACAAAAAGATGGGGCAGCTCAGGGCACCGAATATCCTTCCCGTGTGACGGTGTGAGTTCCTGTGAATTGTCTCACTATTAAGGCACATGGTAGAAGCCTCAACTTATATTTTTATTAAAGGCTGTTTCCTGCAACTCTGATCAGGTGACCACACCTCACACGACGGCAACTCTCTTAGCCAGTGGTCCTTGAACTCTTAAAGCATGAAATATCTTTGAAAAATTTCTTAAGTGCAGTGGAATCTGCTTTTGATCGTTGAATTGGAGATCTGGATTAGTGATGATGTTATGCATGACTGAATTCTGTGCTATGTATGAGATAAGAGTTATTGTCTGATACTGATTAGTATCTCTTTCATTCTTTCATTTTATGGTGATTGTTGTTTTTTGTTTAGTTTATTTGAGTGTTATTTTGTTCTTTTAAGGTGATGATTTCATAGCCAACTGCATATTCTATGCCAGATATTTTATTCCTTTTAAACTCTTATTGAAAATATGATAAGATCGCTTTCATACTTCACTGTAGAGATGGTCATCTCTTGTCATGTGAGTTTTGGTGACTCTGACTTGTTGGTTAGGTCATAAACTACACGACAATTGTTTCTAGTTGGAGCACTAATTTGCTATGTTAATTCCTGTGTTTCATGAGTAAATGTCACTCTAAGTAGTGATGCATAACCACTTGATCTCTTTTATGTGTTGATTATAGCGAGATCTCTGATCTGATAATTTAAAAGTAGAGATTCTATTTCTTGATTAGGATCATTGAGCCGCTTGCCTCTAGATGTGCAAAGTTCAGATTCAAGCCACTAACTGAAGAAATAATGAGCAAACGCATACTTCATATATGCCAAGAGGAAGGCCTGAATTTGGATCCAGAGGTCCGATTTCTGTCATTGACCGCTCTTTGATGAACTTGTCTCCTCCTCTATATGCTGACCTCGTTTGTCTGACTGACATCAAATGAAAATTGCTGATTTAACAACCCCCCCCCCAAACAAACCAGAAAAAGGAAAAGACAAGATTATTGCTGAATGACTAGGTTTCTTGAATGATTTATTAAACTTCACTGCAGGCACTTTCATCATTAAGTTCCATAGCACAAGGCGATCTTCGTAGGGCTATAACGTATTTACAAGTAAGTTTATCTCCTTTACTATTATTTAGAGGTAGAATGTTAGTGTCCTTCACTTCTTAGCATAATTCAATTAGAAAAGGCAATTATGTGAATGGTGAATTATCTAATATTAAGGCTTTCATGGTACTGGGCAGTGTATTTTGGAATGTATTTTGAACAGGAATACTGGATTAGATTACAAAACCCTTAGTCATTTATGAAAGGTTCTCATAATACTAGACGATTAAAGTCTGCCGTTCTATGGTTTTGGAAATGCATAGTGGTGCTACTATAGATAGTATCTGGCCAATCTTTGGGTGTAACATGAGAAAGGACTGGTTGCTTCAGATGGGATTATTTACATAACTTGTGATTATACAAAATACATTGATTTTGTGATTGGCATGGTATTACTATAGTTGGTTTCTTTTTCTTTTGGGTTTTGGGTAACACCGAGCACAGATGTGTAGACGCACGCTCACTGCAATAATTTTTGGGTTCTTCAAATGCTGGCTCGTACAATGTTTAGGAAGCAGTTTACTTTGTTTTACAGTTCCATTTTCAGCCAATTTTTAGACACTTTTGACTTTTCTATTGGAATTGTATAGTTCTGCTGCTTTTTTCTGCTCCACCTAGATGTTTTTGTTCTTCAAAACCTTTCAGGCATTTCATGCTTATGTTAGTGGAAAGGAAATTATTTTGTAAGCTTTCTCAATAAAGATTAAAGCTTCCACACGTAAAAAGAAGGAGAAACAAAAATGCGGATGATTTATGTTGTGGGAGCTTCAGGTTTCGGAGTTATGAAAACTAGGTCATTAAGGTTTCAGCAAATCCTGTTACCTTTCTCATAATTTTGACAATACATTTTAGAATTTTATTAAGGGGAAAATAGAAGTTAAAATTTTTAAAAGATATCAGTTTATTTTTTATTATTTTTAAAAAAAGAATCCTTACATAAGCCCTGGTTGTATGCTAAAGGGCTTCCTCAGGATTATGAGTAATTTTTAATGCACTGAAAATAACTCAGTGAAGTTATTTTTTTGCATATACAATTATGGAAAAAATTGATATGCTGTTTTTGTCAGATGGCGCGAGCTTAACATCTTTGAGATTGCCTTTCAGTTCTGCTCATCTACTTATTGCCTCCCTAAAAATATTTAATCTTTTGTCTCCAACTTACCACGAGCTGTTTAAATGCTTAAAATGTAAAAGTATTATTTTACTTCACTCCAGAAATTTTCTACCAGTTGAAATGGATATTTGTGAAACTCCACAATTTTAGTTATGCATCTAACTCTACTTAAGCATAATGTTTGTATCATGATTGGTACGATTTTCTTTTCTTGGGACTAGGAAAAGAATTCTTTCGAGTGGATGATTATTGTCCATGCATCAATCTTACAGTTGGTCTATTGTTTTGCTAAAGTTTATGTTTGTATACTTCTTATGGGGAAACTAATTCTACAACTGTCTTCTTCGTTTTTGGATTCGTCAGTATGGCGCTCGCACATTTGGATCTTACATTTCATCTCGAGAGCTGATTAGTGTTTCTGGGGTAAGTTAGTTACTTTTGGACAGTCGATTCTTGATTAGCATGTTGTTTACGAAGTTTGAAAGGAACAATTTTAAGAACTGGAATCAATTTACTTTTGTAGCTTTTCCTTTTTTTTGTTGAATGTCACTGGAAATTGGTTGTGTTGCCAATTGGTTTTAGCTGTCGAAAGAAGCTTCCACCATCAACGAGATTTCTGTGATGGTGGTTGAATTGCCAATTGGTTTATGTATCGCTTTTCATAGTTAATTTCACTTCTAACTTGTGCTGATAGATAATGAATGTTCTAGGGGGATCTCTTTAACAGTATTGCCCATAATATGTTGTGCAGAAAGATGCTCAGGGAGCTTAGCATCCTCAGTTGCTCGAGGACTTTAGAATCATCCTCTTGCTATCGGGGAACCTGTCCATGACAGTTTTTATTAAACCAGCATTGTTTTTACACTAATTTGTAATAGGGATATGTTAGTGTCTTTTCATGTCGTTTGATTACTTGTTAAGATTTTCTTGGTGCCTGAGCAGTGTGTGTTTCTTGTAAACAAACAGTTGGGTTACCTTGTACTGATCTTTTGTGCGTATTTTGGCCACTATGCTGATCCCAAAATCTGTGATAAATCTTCAGGTTGTTCCCGAGGAGGTTGTTCAGGCTCTCTATTCAGCTTGTAGGAGTGGTAATTTTGATTTGGCCGACAAGGAAGCTAAGAATGTAATTGCAGAAGGATATCCTGTTTCTCAGGTGTTGTCACAGGTAATGTTGTACGTTAACATGGGGGAAATTGGGCCAAGCAATTTGTTTGCATCTAATCGAATTCTTCCTCCAGTTGTTCGATATAATTGTCCAGTCAGATGACATAACCGATGAACAGAAGTCAAGAATATGCAAAAAGCTGGCTGAGGCTGATAAGGTACTGTTACAGGTTTTTCTTGAATCCTTCTACAATTTACTGCAAGTCGTGTCAGCAAATGGAATCAGTGTTTTTTAACATATTTTATGAATTATAGTTTAGTTGCGGCATGTGATTTGAAGCCTCAATTTTCATTTCAGTTCACAAACCATAACGAAGAACCGTGACAATATTCCTCAAAACTATTGATAATTGCTAGCATTTGTATTTGCCTCAATTTGAAGTCATTCGAGTTGAAAGCACCCTAATCAGAATCTGTATCATGACTATTATGCTTCATTTTTATTTTTATTTTTGGGAATTTGCAATCACCAGTTGGAGCTTCACGTGTAATTGCATTTATTGTTGGTCTTTTCTCCAGTGTCTTGTTGATGGAGCAGATGAATATTTACAGCTGTTGGACGTCACCAGTAACACCATGCGAGCAATATGCAACCTTCCTGAACAATTTTCTTACGAGAGTTAGATGTGCCTCTGCGTGAGTTAGGTGTTTTGTTTCCTTCTTTTGATTTGTGGAAAATTGGTGTTCTTGATGGATTTGTGGCCTACTCATTCGGAAGAGGATTAATTTTGCAATTTGTACTTTCTGTTTTGTTTTTTCTTATCTGCACTATCTAAACCTTTATGAAGTAGGTAACATTAAATTTTTTGCCCAAGTATGATGGAAATATCGTGGTGTATCAAATTCTGAATTTTATGTGATATTCAGCCGTGAAACAAAAAAAGATTTGGTTGAATTACTTAATTGCCCCAATCAACATTCTTAAAAAGCCATGTTCATATATTGAAGGTTCCAGCCCAATTTTTCAACTTGAATTCTTCGTAATAATGATTAATGGACATCATATTAATTTGGATATTAACATGTTGTGGAGATTGAAAAAAAGCCAAATACTCACACGAATTGCTCTCATATTGTAAATATCGAAATTAATTAGTAGAAACTATAATCAGAAAAAATGAACAAGTATCATATGATTTAAAAATAACGAAATTAATTAGTAAAAACTAAGATCCAAAAAAGTAAACAAATATTATATGATCTAAAATAACATGATTCATTTTGTTCAATTTTAACCGATTTAAAAATAGGCGGCTGCTCAGACATCCGCTCAAGCTAAGCATCTAGTTTCTATTACACATTTAAGCCAATTTCAAGTAAATTAATCTTTTCTCTACAATGTATTATTTTCCGCTAAAAATAAACATCAAACACTTACTGATAGTAAAGTTTAATTTACCACTTAATTCACAAACATGAGTTTCGGTTGATCAATTTACTGGTTAGAGGAGGGAGTAAGGAGGGAGTAATTATATCGTACAACACAGTTCACAATGTTTAGTGAACTGGTTTATTATTTACACGCGCTCTTACAATTTTGGTTTTTATCTCTCCCTTATTTATTCAATCATATTCTTTTTATTTATTTAAAATGTATAATTAATCAAATCCAAACAAACTACAATTCAAATTGTATTCAAATTTTACGGTAACAATAAATACAATCCTAATAAGAAATAAATTCAATTACACTACAGTCACATAATAAAAATAAAATTACACACTACCACACAAAAATACGTAACATATTGTAAAAATAATACAAATAATAATGTTCACGAGTTAAAGTGTAAATATGCAAAACAAAAACATTAAATTTCATGATAGTTATATTAAAAATTCATGACAATTTTGTGTTGCATACAATAAAATTCATGGCAATATTTATAAGTATCATGATTAACGATGTCAATAATCATGAAACTAATTTACAATATTTGTAACAAATATGCACAATATTTATACATTATAATAAAGTACTATATAACATTCATACATCGCAAATGTAATATTCATGATAAATATGCACAAAATTCATATATTCATAATAAAATAATACTATTTTTCTCCTAAGATGTTCAAACTTATATAACCAAAAAAAAAATTCATGAATAGTAAATGCGTTTTTCATGGTATGTAAATCTAAAGTTCATAACTAATAGCACATTGTAGTAATAATAAAATAATATTCATGATCATATTATGTTAGATTCATGGAAATTCTAAATAATGTTCGTAATTACATTCACAATTTGTAATATGTTCATAATAAATATAGTCAATATTCATACATCGCAAATGTCATTTTCCTGATAAGTTTGTATCATATTCATCCATGCAACAAAATAAGAACACGAACCAGACTTGAGTGTTTAATATGATAAAATGTTCAAACCCATTTAAAGAAAAGTTCATGAATAAATAATATAGATAAGCGTATTCATGATTTTATTATAAACTATTCATTAACACCTAACTACATGTTTAAAGAAAACTCTATTGTTTTCTAACTTCTTAAACATAAACTCAACATTACCAAAATCATTTGGAGGAAGTTCATCTTTATGAACGGATGTTAATTGAAGTTATTGGGGACAATACATCATCTTCAATGCGTATCAATTGAAGTTGTACCAGATCATCGTCATTGGTTTTAGCTGTGAAAACTGCAATTTTAGGTGAATCCATTGTTAGCGTTATCGTTTGAGCCCGCGTAACTGTCACCTCCTTGATAGACTTCTAAAGTGTCATCGTTCATCATAAACGACCTCAAAAGGATTTGATTCAAATCAAAATTCAGTCTTACAATTCTTAATATTTTTTAAGATGAATGAAAGATAGTTTGCATCTACTTTTCAATTTCTGGTTTATTTTATAGATGAAAAGTAAAGTGAACCATCAAATAATATTGATAAGATACTAGATTTTTAGCTTTGATTTTTTAGATACGATTGGCTACATGATAAAGAGAAGAATTAGGGGGAAAAAAATCAATTATATTGATACGCGTGGTTGTTAATAAAAATTAAGTGAAATTTAACTTTTTTTTTTAAATCGTGTAATACAATTACTCAAACAAGTCCACCATGTACTGTGAACATGGTTTATCATATAAATTGCCTAGAGGAGGGCATTAGCCCATATGTTTAAGGTTAATCTTGGGGAATTATAAAAAACCGTCCACATTCATTGTACCAAGGCGTAGTTAACGATGTTGTCGGTTTCAAGTTTCAACACGCTTGGTCCAAACGCAAGACGGAACAAAATGGACCAGAAAATAAGAAAAAAGCACAGTACTAGTACAACTTGTTTTCACCGCGTAGAATCTGGCTGACGCCGTCCAAACTTCAGAGGAACAAAAAACCGTCCACATTCAATGAACTTAGCTACCATAACCATGGGTTCTCCCATAGTAAGAGTACATGCTTGGCTGTTTGTATGTCAAAAAATTCTACTAATTCTTAACTCCAACGTGTTTGCATGATCGATTCACCTTTACTCTTTTTTTGTAATGAAAAAATGAAAATACTCTTAAACTTTATCTGCCTCATAATTTACTCTTCAATCACAATTTTTTATATCAAAAATTTCTCGAATTGAAACATTTACATTTTATAACACGATCTCGGGAGGTTTGGAGTTGAACTACATAAGGAATCCAAGTGATTATTAGTATTCAAGGAAGTCCACTTTCAATTTTGATGTAATAATCCAAATTAGTTTCTTTCTCAAAAGCATATTTTAACTAAACTTTTTGAAACTCATAATAATTACAGTTTATGCTAAACTTTTGTACCGGAGTGCTGGATAAATTCTAAACGAGTTGTTAGATTTTTTTGATGGTATTTTTAAAATATTTAAATAATAACTGTCTCATTCCAACATACCTTTTTACATTTCCAATACATCTTTTTACATTTCCAATACAAAAAACACTTAAAAACACATACTCCCTCTATTCCAAAATAAGTGTCGTTTTAGCAAAATAGAGAAATTCCAAAATAAGTGTCGTTCTCACGTTTCAATGCATTTTTTGTCAAAAGTTTCTAAAATTACCCTCAAAAGAGTTGATGCTATTTGTGGACAATTTTATAATGGGGTTGGGTGAGAATATTTAAGAAATTTTATTACCCATTTAAGAGTTTTTTAAACTATGTGCAAAGTGTAGGATGTCAATTATTTTGGAATAGAGGGAGTACTACGGTGGCAAAAATATTGGAAGAGATCATTCCTAATTGTGTTGTTTCATTGCGGCAAAAAAATATATACTTTTCTGTCTCATATAAGAAAACCAAAAAAAAAGTCTGGGCTTTGACGTAATCCGAATCCAAAACTAATTAAAGGAATATAATACAGTAATATCCTTTATGCTCTCTCATATCCATGATCTGTTTATAAATAAGTGGTCACAATCCACAGTTCATGAATTTAGACTCATCTCACATCCACATACATCGATAACGTTGTCATTTAGGAGTATTTCTTTTTTCTTTTCTTTTTTTTTTCGGGATTTTGCTTTCCTTTTCCTTTTTCGTTTTTTTTTTTTAAATAATATTAGATTGGCAAAGTTGTTACAATTATAAATAAAGCTTCCCCGTCGACGACAACCCCCCTCCTTGAAAATCCATAGAGAAAGGGAGAGTTCGAGATTCGGCATTTAAAAATCTGCAATTTGGGGATCTCTCTCGTTCTCTAGGGTTTCAATTTCCGGAATTCCCAAATCAATTTTGACGAGTATCTCATCATTATTGAGTGATTGATTCAGCGTATCTTTCCCTCATTTGTCTGGAAGGGCCTAATTTAAAGCTCGAAGGGGTTCCGATCTGGTGGTATACCTATCCGACAAATTTGTCGAATTCGTGTGAAGGGTTTTCTTCAGGGGAATAAGTTAACTAATCGAAATGGTGTTTTGGGTGTTCGGATACGGTTCTTTGGTGTGGAACCCTGGGTTCGATTATGATGAGAAAGTGATAGGTTTTATCAAGAATTATCGCCGAGTTTTTGATCTGGGTATGCTTTTTTGCAACATCAATGTTTTATTCTTTAATCGATTTTGTTTTTTTTTTTGTGCATTTCAGTCATTTATATACGCATTATTGTCTAAATCATTTGCTCTGTGTTGCACAGCTTGCATTGACCACAGAGGTACTCCGGAGCAACCCGCTAGAACTTGCACTTTGGAAGAAGCTGAAGGGGCTATTTGCGTGAGTAGATTAACCTTTTCCATTTACTAAATCATGCTCCATTCTGATTTTCTGAAACCTTTCTGTAGTGCTCTCTTCAACTTGTCGAATGCAATGCTGTATTCCCCTTCTAAATTGTGGTTCTAACCTCTAACTGTGGATAGATGAATGGACTACATATTGAAAAAATATGTTCTTTGATTAATTTGGAGTGGCCTATATTGCTGGAGCTTTTAATTTGGGATAAAATTTACTTGGTTCCTACTCTATGTATCCTGGGTATTATTGGCAGCTTTTGGCCTTCTTTAAAAAATTTAATGTATCTTCCATGACAGTGGGGAGCTGCATATTGCGTTTGGGGAGGGCCAGAAAAGGAAAAGGCAGCAATGGAGGTATTGTTGACATCTTAGACTTGTAAAACTTTCCAAGTTTGTTGAACCATACTCTTTTAATTGGCAATACTCTTTTAATTGGCAGTATTTACGAAAAAGAGAATGTGAATATGATTTGGAGACTTTGGTTGACTTTTACAAGGTTAGTTTTTTACCAAAAATTGTGGATGAAAATTGTAGATATTTATAATTTCCTAAGAATGTACTAACCATTCATCGATTGATCAATCTCAGGAAGGAGGAGATAGTGACCTGCCGGCCTTGACTGGAGTGATAGTGTATGTATTATTAGTTGTTTTATTTCCATTTCCTCCTTCAAGCATGCCTTAAATGGCCATCAATTTCCAATGCCTTTAATTGGCCAAAGCTCAATAATATTTATTTTTGTATAATATATGATATTTCATATTCGCTTTCAAGTTCCGTCAATATATTTGTATATCAGAAAGTTTTGAACTTTTGTTCTATTTTACAGGTTTACATCCACCCCTGATCCAATCAATAACAAGTACTATTTAGGCCCTGCTCCTTTGGAAGACATGGCTAGGTAGAGATAGTAGATTTAGACTCGCTATTTAACATGTCTTCGTTTCTCTTTTTAATCTTGCGTCCTAGTGTGTAAAGAATGTAATTTATTTTTCAGGCAAATCGCAACAGCCTTTGGTCCGTGTGGTAATAACAGAGACTATCTGTTTTTGCTAGAAAAAGCAATGTTTGATCTTGGTAAGTTTTTCTATCATCTTGGTTCTTTTTCCCAATTTTCAAGTTTTCGTAATCACATACTTAACATTTCTTATAGAAATTGTATTTGATATTTATTGATAACAGATTGTGTGGTTTATTGTTTTCCTAATTTGTTTGAAAACTTGTTTCTCCTACAGGTCATGAGGAAGATTATATTATAGAACTTGCTAATGAAGTAAGAAAAGTAGTGTTAAACCTTGGCTTGGCAATGACAAAGGATAAGAGGCTGCTTGGATCATCCCATCTTCGGCCGAAGTTCTCTCCAGTCAAGAATGTGAGGTTATTGCCAGAAGCAGTTGCTGCTGATTCTTAATTTGCGGGCTACATTACCAAAGGCTATCTTTCTGCGGAACCCTCCCTAAATGACCACACTTTTTTGGGAAGAGCTGGATATTTTACTTAGATTTGGTTTATTTTTTAAACCTGACTTAGTTCAGTAACTCTAGTATGTGGTAAGCTCCACATGAGCTTGTTAGGATAAGAAGAGAGCTGAATAACTTACTTCGTACTTGCCACTGAATAGAATGAATATCAACACAACAGAATGAATATCAACTCTGCTTCTTTTTGTTTGAATACCAACACTGTTGAACAGAATGAATGCTGTCTTGATGGACTCAATCACTGCTTTGTTTGTCAACCTTCTTCATTTGTATTTCAATGGCCACAATATGGATAATCTGGATTTGTATGTGATGTCACATATTGTACTTGATTTCAAAAGCTGAGATAAAAAGATTCATAAGGATATGGTTGATCTTACACAATGTTTCTTGTTGGTCAAAAACTTTGTATTATTCATTTTTAATTGGGATACAATTACTCAAAATTTTAAAGGGAATTCATTTCTATGGTGAAGGAAATGAAAAGATTGTAGACTTTAAGTGTGAAAAATGTTACGAGCTCAGTGAGGGGTCCAGACTGAACCAATATGTACCTGATTAGGGTCATACAAGTGACCGTTTTGCTAATCTCTGTCATTTCTTTAGACAACCCTATAATAGAAAGACTTGTCCGTAATAGATTCTTCTATAAATAATAAATTCATTAACATACTCGTTTTTCCATTACTATCCACATCGTATATTCCCCAGGTAAATTATGCTTATTTTTCCATCACTATCGTGGATTCCCCAAGTAAATTCAAGTAAATTATGCTTATTTTTTCATCACTATCGTGTATTCCCCAAGTAAATTAGCTCAATCCGTAAGTTCAATTTGGAAAAACAATAAATAAAAGAATATCATATGTAATTAAATGATGGCCCTCGATGGATTCGCCCATATAAGCTGCAGATGAAGTTGCAAAAATTTTATGACCATTGAAATGAATTAGAGCGAAACCATTTGTAAATACTCCAAGGAATATGACAGCTTGGTTTGAAGGCTGATTTGTCCTAGTAATTCTGAAATGAAATTGATGATCATTGAAATGAATTAGAGTGAGCAAGGTTTTGAACGATGAACATGAGTTGATTAATGTTTGTACAAGAACAGTAAAGAATTGAGGAAGACTGAAACTCAAAGGTAGAAAATAGATCTTCTGATGGAGACAAGAAACATTCACAGAAGAAAGAATTAGTGGAATCTTCCAAAAAAAAATCAATACACTAAATTTGATCAGAATGCAGTGCTAACTGCTACTAAGTTAGCTGCCAAAGGTTCGAAAAGGATTTCTCTTTAAAGCAACATTAACGAGAAAATGGACGGCAACCACATAATATGCTATCAAAATAAAACGTCTGCAAACAAACAGAGTACTAAAAAATCCAATCAAACATAGATTGCAAAAGAGAAAACTACTGGATGCAGTAATTTGAAACTTCCATTCAGTCGGATAATTTAGATCGATGTTCAGCTACCAATATAAACACATCTTTCTACCAAAATTCTACAGATTGACAAATCCGTCAGAGAAGGTAAACTTCAGCAGGGTCTTTTAGGTTTCAACCATAGGTTCAGGCCCTGATGACTCTGCTTGACTTCCATTAGATTGACGTACAGTGTTGAAGAGAATGTCCTTGATGACCTGAAAGAATGCAAAATCATGTGGTGAGAACCGAAGAGAAAGATAAAAAAATAACCTCTTCAAACAAAGAAAAACAGGTGTAAAAAAAATAAAAAAATACCTGAGACATCAAACCATGAACTTGTTCGACAGTTATCTTTGTACTATCACGAGTGATTTTCGCAAGTTGTGAATCTTCCTGCAATATTGATAACCAATAACTCGTGTCTTTAGCTAACAAAGGAAAACCCAAATAGTCACGTTCCTCCATAAACCAATTTAACAACAAAGTACCAACGCTGGGAGTGTTAAAAAGTAAATGATCATGCTCCAAAACTATAGGCAAGCGTAATAGAAACAATGTCAAGAAAAGAAACCAGAGTGACAAAATATGCGTCTGACATGATCTAATAAGGAAACAAATTCGCACTTATTTTTTTTTTTCTCTTTTTGAGCTGAAATTCTTTAGTTGTTTAAAACTACTCGTAATCCATAGACATATATAGAGATGGTAATTTTTTTCTCACATAAAAAAGTATATTATCCTAGCTATACAAGTTTCATGGTTTATAATTAGTTGAGTACCTAGTTGAGTATAAACCTTAATACCATAAGTCTGACTGACCCAAACTCTCAATATGTCTAGTTATTATTTAGCTTAACTATGGAGTCAATAAAATATTAGCTAATAACCATACCCTCACAGAACTATCAGACTCTGCTCCCTGCCCATATACATTGACAACAAATTTGATTCCATGTACTGTCGTGCAAAAATAAACATTCGGCATTCAATCCCACCAAGGTAACAGAAAACTCAAAAGGAAGCACAAAATAGGAAAGAATTTTAGCATCTTTATGAATCGGATGAAGTCCAGCGCCTACATTCAGAATTTTCCCTCTACTTCATCAAATAACAAATCAATTTTCCCTCTACTTCACATCAGAAGAATTTTTAGAAACTATCAAATAACCTCCTTCTGAGCCAAATCAAGTCCTTAGCATGTTGGTAAGACACAAAGATAAGCTCCAAGACACCCACACCCCAAAATGGAAACAGTTGCAAAGAGAAAATGACATCTGCAAGTGGTAGTAGTATGAAATAACATTAAAGTAAAGAAGTGGATCAGATAAAGTTCACTAACCTCTTTCTTTCTCTGGGAGGGCCCCATTAAAGGTCCGAAACGAGCATGTGCCAACTGATTTTCGGCTTGCTCAAGCTTGTCAGCTGCATGACATTACACACATTGTCATCCTTCAAAAGAATTTCATCTATAGCTGTACTATTCAGAGTAATGCTGAGATGTAGTAGCTAATGTTACCTAGATCTAATATTTGTCCAGCTACATAATCACCATTCCCGAGCAAAGGCGAAGATGAAAGTGTGTTTACCCAATACTTGTTCCACAATAGATCCAAGAGATGGGAATCAAGGGACGACTTAAAATACGTGATGTCTAATGAATAATACTGCACAAATGATTAAAAGTAAGCAGCAAGCAAAGAATAGATTGAGGAGAAACAATAACAACAGTTTAACAAAATCACTAGTATCCAATAATTACCTGCTTACAATGCACGCCGAAGTCTTCAATCTTGTTCAGAGGGATGGTTTGGTACTCAGAAACAGGCTCATCTGGGGGCTTATAACCATCTGGATATGTCCTAAAAGCTCCAATTTCTACTTTCCCAGCAGACACGGTTCTTGTCGGATCAATAACAACAGCCAGAAAAGGCTCCTGAAACTGCTGGTTAAGCATTTGCGTAGAAACATCGATACCAGAAAGCCAGCATCCATAACCAGGATGGGAATGATACCATCCAACAACGTTCTCCAACCGGCCAGCCTAGAAACAAAAAGTTAAAAGTAAATATTCTCGTCAGAGAAAAATCGTAACTACACCAACATAAAACATCCAGCAAGCAAAAAGCTTTCCTCACACATGGTTTCAAAGTTGCCAGCTACACCAATATAAAACATGCAGATCAAGAGGATAAATATGAATAATAACAAAGAACTAACAATACGGAATTCTTATAAGGCAAATGATAGGAGAAAGTCTATGAAAGTCCATGTCACAGGCTCCAGGCAAGTAACTCTATGAGATAGAACTACCACATAGCTATCATTCAGAGAAAAACAAGAAAAGATTCTATTATGAACAGAAATATATCCCAAGGACAAATTTCATAAACACCACAAAATAAATCAAAGGTTACAAGTGGCAAAGCCACACCAAAGAGAGTAGATCAATAGTGTATGTCTGTGATCTAATATATATGTGCATTGCCAATTAGCTCCAATCTCTAAACATTGATCAAACAGTCGTAGCAAACTATAAGCTACTCCACTATTAATTATGATACGATCGATAGTTGAAAGCATCCAACACAGATATACACATAGCACCAACAGTCTTGGACCTTTCCTTTACCACCGTAGTACAAGTGAGACAAGCCAACAAACTTCAAAAACTACAAGGATTGCCTTATTCACGAGTACTTGAAATTAATGAAAATATCAAGAACAGAAAAGGAATACAACTATAAATTAATTGCCATGGACAAACTGTGAAGCAAAGAGCAGTTTCGTGTACTAGGGCTTTAGGGTTTAGCAATTTTGGTATCCAAAAGAAAACAAGGAAAAACAAGGAAACCCCCCTTTTTATCTGGCAATCACGGAATTTACTTCACGATGAACAAAAACAACAATCAATTAAGTCCTAATGAATTTTACCTGCTTGTTGGTCTGGGAATAATCGACCATATATTCATAGGCATCGGCCTGAGCATTAACACGGGTCTCAGTGCCCTCAACGGGTAGGGCAAAAGCGTCCATAACAATTATGGCGTCACCGTCGGTCTTACCCTGCATAAGTCCCATGACTTCAATAGTCCCACCGGAGCGAGCGTGGACGACCATCTTGAGGAGGGCGAGCGCGGAGATCTTCACGCGCTTGAAGTAGTGAGGGTCCTGAACCCATGGCTTCTCCTGCTGGAACTTGGCCTGCGCCGCGTCGTCGTAGTAGAATATGTGGTCGGACGAGGCGTCGGCGGCGGCGGAGGACGACGACGTGACGGAAGCTGAGAGCGGCTGATCGACGGAGACAATGTTGTTCTCCAGCTCCCAAGTTTGCCGAGCAATGGCTGCAGATGACAACGACGAGGGCTCCATTGTTTTGTTTTGCAAACGACGAGGGCTTTCCAGTGTGTGTGAGAAAGACGCTCTGTCGCACTGATATTTATATGCCTGTTTTTATCCGGGCGGGTTATAATTTATTGGGTTATTGGATTCGGATTGTTTGGTTCGTTTCGCTTTCGCATGATTTCTATTGGAATAAGGACAAAAATCCCCATAATTATGTCCCAAAGACTAATTTCCCCTCAATGTTTCCTGAAACGATAAAAAGCCCCATAAACTATGTCTAAATGGACAACTTAACCCTCCATGAGTCCCTCGATGGAATGGTGATTGCTTGTGGAATAAAAATAATGAGGAAAACGACAACAATACCTTTTAAGATTTTTTATTTATTTTTTTGGAATGCACCTCTAACATTACTCCCTCCGTCCATAATTATTGTCCAGTTTGAGTTTTCATTTCTAGTTCAAATTGTACTCTCTCCGTCCCATAATTATTGTCTAATTTGAATTTTCATTTTTAGTTCAAATTGCACTAAAAGTGAAATCTCAAACTGGACAATAATTTTGGGACAGAGGGAGTACTAAAAGTGAAATCTCAAACTAAACAATAATTTTAGGACAGAGAGAGTATTATTTTTCTTTAAAAAATGACAAAGACTCCCTAACTATACCAACTTTGACTTTCAAAAAAAAAAAAAAAACCTATACCAACTTTTAAATTTTTTAAAGGACTACTCTTAACAAAATAGTTATTATTATTCCGTTTTGTTTTAAATCACAAATTTGAAAATCCTTACCACTTCTGCTAATACTTTTTTATTCGACCATAAATCTTCATAATTTATGCAAAATATAGTGAAAACTCAGATGTCTCAAAAAAAAAATTAAAATAGAAAGTGTGCATATACACACACATATACATATAAGGGAAAATTATTAAAAGGGGCATTAGAACGATCAAAATTATTCTCAAGGGTATTAGTATTTTTTACTCTTAAACATAAATATTAAAATATTTTCTATACATTAATATTTCAAATCCATTGTACTTAATTAAAGCAGTAAACAAAAAGGACACATGTCAGTTCCACAATCAAAATTTTCCCTCCAAAAGCCTTTTTCAGTACAAAATGAAAACTGACATGTGGCGCTCTAGATTTTGAGAAAAAAATTTGGATTTAAAAAATGCTCAATAAAAAAATAAACTCCAAAACATGTGCAGATAAAATATAGAAACCTATAGCTAATTTTCATTTACATAAGATAATTATAAAAAGTCCAATTTTCAACTGCAAATTAGTGAGATAAGGACGTTTCCCTGTAATAAATACAATGAAAATCATATCTTCATATATACAAATGATTTTCCGGTCATAGTCAAGGATGTAAAAAAAGGAGATGTACACTGATTACACTGTCTAATTAACCATAATTACATGAAATCGAATATTCTCCATTCCTAAAATTAAGCACTTCATCCGTGTTTAACTTCTCCATTCCTAAAATTAAGCACTTCATCCGTGTTTAACCACTCTTGAATTCCTGTACAATCAAAATAAAATCAATTCACTTGATGTGATGCATTTATAAATGAAAATTCTACAAGATAAACATCCCTGCTTTTGAATTTTGAGTGATTCATCTATATCTGTACATCAGAATGTGCGTGTATATTTCTTCTCCATCTTCTCCAGTTTTAAAGGGAAGTTCAAAATCTCAAAGATATACTTACCTTGATATATCCATGGCATATCTTCCCAGCGTTATTAAATAGCTGTATAAATCATCAGATACTGATCATTCAATCAATATCAAAGTCCTTCTGAAAGAACCACAACAAAATTCTTAAACTCTCAGAAAAGAAATCAAAATCCTTTCTGATGGATTCTGCACAGAAAAGAAATATCCCTATTTCTGAAGGTGCTTTGATTCCATCAGCTGATCCTGTTGTTCCAGAAAACGCCAATGATATTCAAGAAGTCCCAGGGGAAGCATATGTTACTCCTCCCGTTCAAACATCAGTGTCTTCATCAAAAACCCCTGATGATGGATCCCATATTGCAATTCCTTCTGTGAATTCAACTGCTCAAAGTGGAACTCCTGTCATTACTCCTCCCGTCCCACAACTTGCTGCACAAAGGTATATTGTGGACATCAATGGGTTGGTGCCAACCAAAACCATACATTTCAACATTGTCGTTCGTGTGATGACTATATGGAAAATGTATGATACTCAAAACAAGAAGGATGTCAAATCACTTGAATTGTCTTTGATTGATGCTCAAGGTATTTTTTATTCCTTTGTTTTTTAAAATACATTCTTTGATGTACATCACTCTATTTGTATGTTTAAGTATATTATATATAAATTAAAAATAATGACAATGCAGGGTTCCAAGATCCAGGCTACCATACCTGCTCGAATCATGAAAGATTTTGTAAAGTACTTTAAAGATGAAGGTGTATGCAGGAGGCTGTCACGTTTTGATCACTGTCTTAACATAAATGGAGGTTACCGTTGCTCCAAACACGAGTATAAAATTGTGTTTGGATCTGACACTTTGGTTGAACAAGCTGTTGACCTTGACATACCTAATCATGTATTTGAGTACACTCCTTTTGCAGAAATTACGAATTTTGTTGCCAACTTTGACTATTGTTGTGGTAAGTGTGAATTATAAAAAATACCTGCCGGTTTTTGGAGATTTTTTTCATGTATAACTTTCACATATATTCAACTATTTTGTAAGTAAATACCTTTACAAATTACTCCTTTCTTTCAGATTTGATAGGACACATAATTGGCTACAGTGATCCTATTGTTGAAAAGGGTAAGAAGAGGATTTCTGTGCAACTGGAGGATGAAAGGTATACACTTTTACTATTGGTTTCTTAAAATACATGATTTTTTTTTTTGCTTTTTTAATCCAACAATAGGATGTCCAAATATATTATTAACAAGAGTATACATATATGCAGAGCTGACACGTTAAAGGTTACTCTTTGGGAAGAACACGCTGACCATGTTCTCAATTGTATGAATAATGAACCCGAATATCCTGTTGTTTTGATTGTGCAGTATGTCAAGTGTAAAAAGTACTATTGTAAGTTTTCAAGACATAGATTTCACTTATTAGCAATGTCTATTATGTAATCCTTATACTGTTTGCTGTGTTAATGCAGCCAAAGTTTCAGCTACAACCAACCTATTTAATGGCAGGATATACCTCAATGATATGAACATTGCTGACATATACGAGTACAAACACAAGTAATTAAAGCTTTTCACAGGGAGCATATACAAGTCAAAGCAGTGACTTGAAAACATGTATATTCATAAATGTATGCTGTAATTTAACAATATACTTACCTCTATAGGATGGAGCAAGAAGAGATAAAAAGTGCAAGAATCCAGAAGATCTCCCTGCTGTCTTCAATTTCAGGTTACACAACGTTTGAAGACTTTGTCCGTGATGCAGAGATGCTAACTTTGTCTGGAATTAGCGAATTGGATCAGGTAATGAGTTGATATTATATAATATAAATAAAATTTATAATTTGAATACGTTAATGATTCTGCAATATTTTTGTTTAAAGGCCTGCAACGTTGTAGTATTTGCTAAGATAAGTGGATTAGCAAAGGAAAATGAATGGTCATACACAGGGTGCAGCCTCTGTAACAGAAAGGTTTTGAGATAGAAGATGCTGAGAAGAACAATGGAGGAAATAAAAAGTTATCATTTGCAAAGAGCAGAAGGACAGATAATGGAAAGGCAATTTCATGTCCGAAAAAATGGATGTGCAGCAGTCATGGACCTGTTTCTGCTGTTGGGCTAAAGTATAAATAATATACTAAGCATTATAGATTTTTTTTCCCAGTTTAGTTGCAATTATTATTCAATTTCATTATACAATCACTAATTACTTCTTAACTGTTCAATCTACTTCAGATTCAAACTGCAGGTATATGTTGTTGATGGTTCAGGTAGCAGGATTGCTACACTTTGGGACAGAATGGTTTACAATTTCATAAACAAGAGTGCTGCCGAACTAATTCAGGAGGTATACTTCAATATGTTTCCCTAAGTTTTTTTCCTACATGATTACGATGCATCTAATAGTATACAAATGTTTATTACTTACACGAGATTCCTATTGATAACCTATATAGGGGAACTTAGATTACCCTGAAATCCTAGAGGAAATTGTGGGGAGAAAGTGTTTGTTCAGGCTGGATGTGTCCAATTACAATATTAGGAACAATACAAGTGAGATATCGGTTGCAAGGATTGCTACTGATCATGATATTATAAAGAAGTACCTCGAAGCTGTTTCTGATGATCAGGTTAAGTTTCATTGTTTACCAATACACACATATACATACATATTGTCATTATAGTTATGTGACAACTTTTAAATGTTCCGGACATTGACCCGAGCTAAGTGCGAATTCTATCACTCGTGACTCCAAATCAGGACAACAATGCTAAGGTATTTTATATGTGTCAAACAGTACCTTTAAAATATCAAAGTGTTTATTATTGAAGTGAAAAAGACATGCTTGCTAACTTACGACAACGTTGGATGACCAGACAGCTGTTTCGTGCACTGATGAAACTGATTTGATGTTGATTGGAGATGACTCTGCCGATAGTCCTCCTCCTAAGAAGTTTACAAATGCACATGAAGGTGAAGAAAGTGTCAAGTCTCACCCCAACAAGCGGGTCAGGAAACTGTGATAATCAAAAGAAATGGCAGCAATTTACTGTTTTTCATAATAAAGTTTACACCTTGCGGTGTTTATATGTTTCCCGGTCCAGAATATTGATTATTGCGAGAACTTTTCATTATTTTGTTTACGTTTTCTTGGAACATTATCATTCTACAAACCATAAGTTTTTATCAGTTCTGCTTTTGATTTCAATATTCTGTGTTGTTGATTCTGTTATGTTACATTTTAATTCCATTCACTAGATCATCATAATGTGTTTGTTATGAATGTTGCAGTTTATAAAATGGTAGGATATTTGTCAATGACATATACGAGTACAAACTTATTACTTTTTAAATATTCACAGTGATCATACAGAAGTCAAAACATTGACTTGAAAACATGTATATTCATAAATGTATGCTATAATTTAACAATATAATTACCTCTATAGTATTGGATCAAAAAGAGATAAGAAGTGACGAATCCATAAGATCTCCAAGATGTCTTCAATCTCAGGTTACACAACGTCTTCAATCTGAAATATTCAGTTCAATCAGGAATATGAATAATTATCCCTGCACTGCTGAATTAATACTATATTGATAAACTGGTAAACACACACACGGATTGAACTGAATATTTTAATCTAGATAAAATGGTAAAGATACAGACTGATTGAACTGAATATTTCAGATTGGATAAGTGAATTGAATCTTCATATCCTGAAAATTCTCTATAAAATTAGTATATTTATTGGAATTTTTAAACTTTCAATTTCATCAAATTTGAAACACTTTTATGTGAACGTGTATACAATTGACAGATAACTGATATATTTTATCCCTAAAAATCTGGTGAAATAATCAATTATTTGAGAGTTGATTGGTTGTTAATAAAAAAAAATATTTATATAGAGTTTCATTCCTTAACTGTTAAGTCTAATAAACTCCTAATTATAAGGGATCTTAAATAGGTATATAAATACAGAATAAAAACGTATATTCACAAATAACCCAAATTCAGTTTTAAACAAAACATAAAAGCTAAACTTCTTTGCAGTTTTGAGAAGAAAAACACGTTATATTTCAGCAGTCAAAATGGATTATGGTTATGATCAATTGGTTTCAGTTCCAGCAAACATTCAAACAAAAGGATTGGTAAGTATATAATACAATCTCAATTATGAGTTTAGTATAATTACTTTTATGCTTTGTAATTTTTATCTTTTTATCAGATACTTAGCAGTAACCTCACTGCAATTTTAAGACATGTTGGACAACAAATCATGATTGAAGTACCAGGGATTCGCAGTGTTTTTGCAAATATGCATATTAATAAGAAAAAGAGGTGTCAATTATACGGATCTGCACTTGAGGAGATCTTTGCAGCCATCGGTGTTTTTCCTCAATCTAAGATTCATGTTGTTTATCACAAGTCTTCTAATGTTCTGCATTTATTTAATTTTAATCACGATGGATGCCAACGTTTTTCCCCTGATCTTAATGCAAACATTGGACATCGGTACCTTTTGGAGTTAAATCCTAACAATTCTCTCCGATGTGTAAGTTTAAATTATTCCTCCAGCTTCTATCGAGGTTTTTAATTTTTACAATCTGTTTGGTACACAAATTTATTGTCCTGATTATCTTTGTTTTTGAATTGTAGGTTATTAACCCACAGTACTTTAGGGGTATAGATTGGCCTTTGAATCAAACTGTTTCGCTGATCCTTGATGATAAACACAAACAGTGGAATTTTAATATATATACACAACAGGGTGAACCTGTAGGTTTTGAAGGCAAAATGTGGGCAGAATTTCATGATCTTTACTTTAATCATCTACGAGGTGTAAATGTAATATTCATTTACACAGGGCAATTATACTTTAGGTTAAGGGTTTTCAACCCTCAAGGTTACTGCTGTGATCAGGATATATCTGTTTCGGATTCATCTGAAGGTTTGATCAATTTACATTTCATATGCAAAGAAGTTTATTTCATTAAATTTATGCTTTTATATCTGGACTTAATTTTTACTTCACTGTTGCAGGTGAAGTTGACACAATTGACTACATACGATCTAATAGTGATCAGAATACTTTCAACGTAGTCATGAACACTGATGTCATTCAACGTGGTAGATTGGTGAGATAATGGTTACCATTTGTAACTTACAATAAACAGAATTTTACCTTCAATTATATAGCATTCACTTACTGTTATTATTATGTATATTTGATTTTTAATTTTTTATATGAAAGGAAATACCATGGCACATTGTCAGAAGACTTGATATTCAAGACTACAATAGTTTGATCATATACTACGATGAAGAACCTGTTATCAGAATGGGCCGTGTCTATTTATCTGATTATCCTAATCGCTTCATTGTCGAAGGAGACATTGAGTACATGATGGGTTTAAAAAAGATCCCTACTGGTATCAAGCTCGGTTTTCATATAGATGCAAGAAAGGCAGTTAATAAGGAACATTTAATCTTGGAAGTACTGTAATAGTTTTAGATTTTTTGTTATTTGGAATAATTAATCATAAACTTATTAGTTTCCAACTTTCAGTCACAATTATCTATTAAATAATTGAATGTTGATTTTCCGTTGTTTTATCCATAGACATTTTGATGCAGATTATCTAATGCCATAATTCAATATCTTTTATCTTACAATCGCATAAATTCATATAATCATACATATAAGAAACAACCAGTCCTTAATAATTGACCACTAAACATCCAATCAGTAAATTGAAATTAACAGTAAATGCATGAAATTGGTTTTACTGAATTTTAAAGTTTCAAATGAATTGGTTGTTTATATCCTATTTTTTAGGCAACATCATTGATCTTTAATGACAATTTCACTGTGAATTGGTTGTTTATATCCTATTTTTTAGGCAACATCATTGATCTTTATCAAAAAATATTCTTTACTGATAATGTATTTAATTTAATATATATTCTATCATTTCAATCACATCAAGCTTATATTCCTGTTAACATTCTTATTTAAACACATCTTATAAATTTGAATCCTAAACATCATACAAACTTATAGTCACCATGAAAACTAAATGGGATGCAAAGCAGGCCAGATTGATAAGAAAGGGGATTTTACAGAAAAAAAGACTCAGATTTCAACAACCGGTAATTACTGGTAATCCGCCAGTTTCAATTGTCGTACCACAACTTTATGAAGTCAGTGGTAAGAGGAAAATAATTCATAGAATAAAGATATTGGAATTACCCTGTCCTGATCCAGTTATTGCGAAAAAGTCCAGGATTGATAGAAAAGAGTTGTTAGATATGAAAAGAAACAGGTCAACCATCCATGGTGAGCAAATGTCAGAGATCAGTGTTAAATTAAGTTGTGGAAGATCTTACAGATTGAAGAGGAAGGTATTTTTGGATAAAAGGAAGGGTAAAGTTATCCCAGAAAAACCAGTTGTTACGATGGGTGGTATTGCTATTCATGGATCGAGTAATTTCACATTCATGTATTCCACGGATACAAGTTCACAACCTATGAAGGAATCCATTTGTTCCAATCGATTATGCAGATCACAATTCCAAAAAGATAAAAGTAATGATAACGCAACAGGTAAGCCATCATCTTTTTTTATTAATTTCTTTTGTCAATTTAATAGATTTTCCATTGTACAAATCTGGAATCGTATATGAAACAAATTTGATATAGAGTAATTGAAGTTCTAAAATCTAACCTTGCTTTATTGTTTGTTGTGAAATTGATTTTGTCTCAAAGTGTTTTGGATGATAAATTATCATCAAATCCGTCTATACTTCATCAGACCACAACAGGTGCATCGAGAAAAAATTTGCGGCCTGGAAAATACAAAGTCATTAGCAGGAATTTAACATGCATAAATACAGGTAACATTCTACCAATCCATGTACACCATAATCTATTAACAGTCATACAACAATTATTTAATCAGTATAATACATGATATGTAAATATACTTTTTTTACAGATTACGATGACTTGGGAGATCCAATTTATGTATGTGAATATTGTGGATCTAACATGTGGTATGAAGAAAGAGTGAACAAGCAAAGGAGACCTGAGCAACCTAAATTCTCTCTGTGTTGCAAGCAAGGAAAAATACATTTACCCTTCCTTCAAGAACCACCTCTTAAACTAAAACATCTGTTCATGTCAAATGATGATAAAAGCAAACATTTCTTGGATAATATCAGAGCGTATAATAACATGTTCGCGTTTACTTCTATGGGTGGTAACATAGTTAATTCAATAAATGATGGACGTGGCCCATATGTTTTCAAAATGCAAGGACACAATAGCCATCTCATGGGTAGTTTACTTCCAGAAGATGATTCCAAACCTAAATTTTCTCAGTTATACATATATGATACCCATAATGAAGTCAGCAATAGGATTGGAGCTTTAAGGTACATTTCAATACTTACATGAATGTACTGTAACATCTTTTACATTTCAATGTTTAATCAATGATCCACTTTTTAAACCATTATATTATATTGTGTGCTATTTATGACAATGCAGTTCAGGGAAAAATCAAAAAAAAACAAAGGAGCTTGATGCTCAGATTGTGAATGACATAAAGACTACGATGGATGAACACAATGTTTTGGTTAAAACATACAGAAAAGTGTGTGACACTGTCCAATCAGATTCTTCAAGTGAGATTAGACTAAAGCTAATTTCCACAAGGGAAACTGATGCCAGAACGCACAATCTTCCAACTGTTGATGAAGTCGCAGCTATATTACCTGGCGATGAAGGAAATGAAACTGAGACAAGAGATATAATTGTTCAGTATAAATCTGGACAACTTCAGCGTATAAATGAGTTGCACCCATCGTACATCTCACTTCAATATCCTTTGTATTTTCCTTACGGTGAAGATGGTTTTCGGATCAACATAAAGCTTGGAGATCCAGAATCAGATTCTGACGAAGATGAAAATGTGTATTGTGATGATATTGAAGGGGTATATGACGAAAGGAAAGGCCCGCGTAAATGGATGAGTATGTGTGAGTGGTTTGCATACCGTATACAGGACAGAGACATGGATGGATCAATGCTGCTATATGGACGTAGACTTTTTCAACAGTTTTTAGTTGATGGATACAGTGCAGTTGAAGCTGGTAGGATATTTTGGGTCAAGAGAAATCAAAGAAATCTTCGATGTGACACTTATGAAAACATTAAAAAGCAGCTTGACAATGGAAATACTGAAGCTTCAGATGTTGGGCAGAGAGTGATAATACCTTCTACTTTCACAGGAGGTGAAAGATGGAAAAGGGAGAATTACATCGATGCAATGACTATAGTTAAGACATATGGTTATCCGGATGTTTTTCTAACATTTACATGTAATAACAAGTGGCCAGAAATATTAAGATATTGCGACAAGAAAGGATTGAGGCCCGAAGATAGGCGGATATAGTTTCAAGAGTGTTCATGATGAAGCTTGAAAGACTGATGAAAGAGATAAAAACTAAAGAGGTATTTGGCCGTCAGGAAGCAGGTTTGTTTGAACTATCATTTATATTGGTTTCTTTTAAAATTTCTTTATGTTTTTATACATCAATAGTAATTATTCCATACAGTTAATAAAGTGTACTAACTTTGCAGCCGTCTACACGGTTGAGTACCAGAAAAGAGGGCTACCTCATGCACATATAGTGGTGTGGTTACATCATGATGACAAACTATCCAAACCAGAGGATATTGATAACTTCATATGTGCTGAACTACCAGATAAGGATAATAATCCTGTTCTATACAACATTGTTACTGAGATGATGATTCATGGTCCTTGTGGTAAAGAGTTTCCTTTCAGTCCTTGCATGGTAAAAGATGAATGCTCAAAAAAATTCCCTAAAAAGTTCAAAGAGGAAACTACAATAGGTGATGATGGTTTCCCTGATTACAGGAGACGTAATGATGGTAATAAATTTGAAAAGAATGGTGCTACAATAGATAATACATGGGTGGTTGGTTACAATTGGTATTTGACACTCAGGTTTCATGCACACATCAATGTAGAATGGTGCAATCAAGCAGGTGCTATTAAATACTTATTCAAATACTTGAATAAAGGATCCGACCGAGTTTCATTCAAATATACAATGAACGGAGAAGTAATCAGAGAAGATTATGATAAGCGCCCAAAGGATGAAGTAAAAGATTGGTATGAAGGTAGATATCTTTCAGGTTGTGAAGCTGCATGGCGTATCTGTAACTTTCCAATACATCATAGAACACATCATGTTGAAAGGCTAAGTTTCCATATGCCCGGTCAACAGTGTCGTATACGATGAGGATCAAACTGTGGAAACAAGAATAAGCAGGGCTTCCAACAGAGAATCGATGTTCACTGGTTGGATGCAATGTAATGCCATTTACCCTGATGCTATGAATCTTACTTACATTAATTTTCCTTCCAAATTTGTGTGGAAAAGAAAAGATAGAATTTGGAAGCCAAGACTAAGAGGTTCAAGCATTGGAAGAATTCATGGGGTACCTATAGCATCTGGTGAACCTTATTACCTCAGGATGCTCTTTAATATTGTTAAAGGCCCGACATGTTATGAAGATATAATGACAGTAGATGGTGTACAACATATGACATTCAAAGATGCTTGCTTTGCAAGGGGTTTACTAGAAGATGACAAAGAATATATTGATTGCATTCTTGAAGCATCAACTTGGGGTACAAAGAACCTACCGCAGACATCTATTTGCTGAACTATTGGATGGTGATATTTTGTCAAAGCCTCGAGAATGTGTTGGATCAAACTTGGGAATGCTACGTAAGATATCCCATTGAAATTGAAACGGTTGTTCGAAATGAAGGTGTGTCATGAAAATATTTTTCAATTATATTACACATTTAAATTAGTACACATCTTTTTATTAATATATACATAGATACTAAAATGCTATATACTGATTACATTGTGTCGAAGGTGAGCTACAATTGCACGCACCGAAGGAGATTGAGTTAATATTACGAACTCATGGTAGGACCTTGAAGGATTTTCCAAGTATACCATATCCTGGCGACGTATTCATTGAGGCTGGGACAAATACCATGATCCACGATGAGTTAGACTACAACAGGTCTTCATTGAGGGAAGAACATGATGTGCTATATGGTAATCTAACTGACGAACAAAGGGCAATTTACAAAGAAATCTTAGATGCAGTTGAAAAAGAGAGTGGAGGATTATTCTTTGTGTATGGTTACGGTGGAACTGGAAAGACTTATGTCTGGCGCACACTTTCAGCAGCAATTCGAAAAGAAGGAGAAATAGTACTAAATGTAGCTTCCAGTGGAATTGCTTCATTATTGTTAGTGGGTGGAAAAACGGCTCACTCAAGGTTTCATATACCAATTAACGTGACTGATGAATCGATCTGTAGGATAAAACCAGGAAGTGATTTGTCTGCTTTGGTTAAGAGGGCAAAACTTATTATATGGGACGAGGCACCCATGGTACATAAACATTGTTTTCAAGCTTTAGATCATACATTAAAGGACGTTCTAAGGCGAACAAATCCAGATGCTGCAGAACAACCATTTGGAGGTAAAGTTGTTGTTCTTGGGGGGGATTTCCGGCAGATATTGCCAGTAATTCCAAAAGGTACTAGAGCAGATATTGTAACTTCTGCAATAAATTCTTCTTATCTATGGAGGCATTGTAAGGTACTTAAATTAACTGTGAACATGAGATTAAGGGCAGGAAATACAGTGAATAATCCTGATGAAATACGTGAGTTTTCTGAATGGCTGTTAAAAATTGGAGAAGGAAAGATCAACGAGCCAAATGATGGTGAAGCCGAAATTGAATTCCCAGATGAGGTTATCATACAGGATCCAGGAGATCCTATTGAGGCAATTGTAAAGGCTATATATCCAGACTTATTAGCTAATCTGGAAAACCAAGATTGGTTTCAGGAAAGAGCCAGTTTAGGACCAACGCATGAAGTCATTGACAAAGTAAATGACTACATGACAGGTTTATTACCAGGAGAAGAACGTGAATACCTCAGTTCAGACAGCATGTGCAATTCTGAACATGGAGGTGAATCGATCGAGGTATCTACACTCCGATTTTCTCAACAAGGTGAAAGCTTCGGACTTCCCAATCACAGATTGGTATTGAAGCGAGAATGTTCCAGTCATATTACTACGTAATCTTGATCCAAGATTAGGACTATGCAACGGTACTAGACTACAGATTACACGTATGGGACGTTATGTCATAGAAGGGAAAATCATATCAGGCAGTAATATTGGTCAGGTTGTACCTATTCCTCGGATGAAAATAATTCCAACTGACAACAACATTCCTTTCAAGATGAAGAGGAGGCAGTTTCCTATAGCTATTTGTTTCGCAATGACCATTAACAAAAGTCAAGGTCAGTCCCTATCTACAGTCGGACTCTACCTACCACGGCCAGTTTTTAGCCACGGACAGTTATATGTGGCATTGTCAAGGGTGACATCTAAAAAAGGTTTGAAAGTTCTCATTTGTGACCGTCATGGCACAAGATCCAACAGAACCATGAATGTCGTTTACAAGGAAGCTCTACGAAATGTCAGTTGAGTTAATTTATTTAATTTCATTTCTGATTTAATCATGGTACACACTATTCCTTTTGATTATCAACATTTACTACTA